GCTCTCTGGGTAAAGATATCCAAGTGGTCATGTGCTCCTGATGCAAGACAGAGAAATAGAAGGAGCCAGAGGAAGAAACCTACACAAAATAAGTCCTTGGCAACATGGGATGAGCCTTTGATAATAGATCATGGCAAGATAAAGGTCTTAGATAATATAACTCATCTCTGAAGTATTTTCTGCTTTCAAACTACAGAATATCAACCTAAAATAGAGGTACAGATTGTTTCAATCTATTGGTTGTTTAATAATATTTTATTCCAAAATTAGAGCCATGTCTCCTCTCTCACTAATGTCAAGATCTGTTATCATCTTACTCCTTGGACTCTGCAGACTGCAATTGTTTTGATCTCTTATTTTGCCATTTAAGACTTCCAACAATGTCTTTTTTTTTTTTTTCGGTAGTGAGGGCTGAATCCAGTGTTTTGTGCTTGTACATCCTAGGGAAGTGCTATAGTACTGAGCTGCACTCCCAGCTCTTCTTGTCTTACTTTTTTATTTTGAGGCAAGCTCTCACTAAGTGCTCAGACCGCCCTCAAACTTCTGATCTTCTTGCTTCAGCCTCCTGAGTAGCAAGGGTTACAGGCGTGCACCACTATGTCTGGCAACCTCAGCCCACTTTTAAGACACTTAGTTAAGAACCAATTCTTCATTTTTTGTTTTTTTAATCATAAATTTGATAGAGTATTTTCCCTATTTGAAAAGAAAAAGTATGAACTGTTTTAAATGGAAGCCTAAAAATATTTCTAAAAAGTAGGACATAGGTAATGTATGTATGCCACTTATTATAAAAAAGAAAGTAACAGTTTGGGGAAGGATCCTGAAAAAGAAAGACATAACCTTATCCTTGCAGCATGATGCTTTTTCATATTGTGGAAACTGGCACAGATACCTCACACAAGACTGGCAAAAGCCGCAGGGGCTTGGATCAAAAGACAGAAGCAATACTCCCTGCCAAATGTGATCGTTTCTGACCTCATAAACAAGAAGACACTGAGACTACATGTCACCAGCTTCATTAATGTTCAAATGGTGAATACAAACAAGGCATTCTCATGCTCTGATTTTCCTAATTAACTCAGATGATTCATAGTGGGTTAATAACTAAGATCTCCTCTCTTCCATCAACCAGATGGGCAGAGCTTGCATACTGAGAAATTATCTGACAATTAAGATGCACAAGCAGTCCCCTAAGAAACTTGATTTTCAAAATTCTATGGTCTCAGTGCTAGGATTTTTACTTGGATGAATGCTAGCCTGTTTTAGCTCCACAAAACAAAATACAATTGAAATGTTTACATTCCAGGCTTTCCAAAGGCAAAAATGGAAGCATTAATGTTACTTTGTTAATGATTTCCACCTAATGATTCATGTAATTGACATTTCTCAATGGCTTGAATGAATGTTATTGGGATAAAAGTATAGCGTTAGCTTCCATTTACTCATAATCTCTCTAATGAGCATGACAGACAAAACTGTATCTGAAATAAAGAGGCAGAATCTGGATATTCAATATCATCCGCACATTTATTGTTTTGTATATAATAAGATCAGTGGTTCTTTCTGCCAGTCTTTCCAATTCTGTGTTTTGCACAAAGGACATGCACCTTACATCAACATATCAATCTTCTGGGGGAATGAGGAATGTGAAGATCTCATTTTGTACCTTCACAACCAACACATTTGTTAGGAATAAAAAGGGCCAGGCTTTGACATTTTCCAGCTTGTTATCTGTTTAATTTTCCATCTGCTTCTTTTGCCACTGACTTCCAAAGGAACATCTGCTGCATATCTGAGAGACGGGAAGCAAGACTGAATTTGTGCCACCTAGGTCTGCAGGCCCAAAGCTTGGGATCCAGAATAAGAGAAGGGAAGAAGACTAACAAATGGTCCAGAAAATAAAATAAGGACAAACAGTCTGCAAAGAGCAGAGCTGTATTTCCCTTTATTGCAGAGCCCACATGACCAAGCAAGCTGGGCTGCAGCATTTACACCCAAGGGTGCGATGCGGAGGGAGGCAGCAGGGCTTGCTGAGCAGGAAGAGCAGAGCACAGGGCTCAGACTTTCCTTTGGGTGCCTTCCTCTCCACAGGGAGTCCCTCACATACTCCTCACACACTCTTTAAGCTTTTATGGGGCAGCTGCTGTGAGCCAGTCTTCATTCTGAGCATTCTGGAGGCACAGATGAATAAGACATAATTTTTACCCATAAAGAGCTGAACTAAAATGGGGCAGAAAAACAGTAAACAACAGATTGCAATATAAAGTGACACTCCTATACCCTGGGTAGGGAAAGGCGTTACAGGAGTGCACAGAAGGAAGAGAACTGTGCCTGGTGCTGTGAGGAGGCAGGCTGGTTCCAGGCAAGGAAAGGCTGTGTGTGGAGAAGGTGCGTGAGCAGAGCCTGAAGAGTGAGTAGGAATATCAGGAAATAAATTTTTTTCCTTATTCCCTATGGGCACCACACAATATCAAACCTTCAAAACTGACTCAAAAAAATTAATCTCTCAAAGCAGTTTCCCAACCTGGCACCCCCTCGATGTCAAGGCACCAAGATTTCTGTCCAATATATTAACCAACTGGATTGTGACATTTCATAAAGTTATCTGAAGGGTGGCTGGTGGGGATAGCAAACTCTCATCCTAGGAGGGGGAAACATCAGCATCATTGAAACTTCCTGATTGGCTATGAGGAAGCAGCAACAAAGCAGCCAGTTCTCTAATTTTAACTTTCCTTAAATATCTAACTTTAACTGTCAAAATCTTTGTATGTAAGAGCAACAATAGCAATGCAATAAATTCTTAGGATAGGAGTTTATCTGTGAAACAATCAGGTAGTGAATGAGTATCTACTTGGGGCACAATGAAGGATACAGAAATATAAGGCAGGACCTTGGTGTCTGAGAAGGCAAAATCTAATTGCAATGACTGGAGTATTTGAATCAGCTAACTAGAAAATGTACACATGTTCTATAGCTCTGACATGACATGACAAATATTTAACATTTCAATGAAAAAAGAGTAGGGCCAACACTATGCTTCATTGCTCAGTAAACGTATGCTTCCTTCACTTTTCAATGATATCTATAAAAATAAAACGTATCATTTGCTTTGGATTAGTCATAGTGTACACTGAGATGCAAAAGTAGTCACCATAATCTCTGACTATGTATTGTGCTTTGTCTTCGTTTTAATAAATTTAAAAAACATGGATTGACAAAATGGAAACAACTATGAAAAGAATCAAACACAACTTTTTTCTATTATACATTCTCTTTCCATTTCAAAGGAAATTTGCCTTAATTTAAAAAAAAAAATTTGAAACTGATGTTTTAGCTGGGTGCATCAGCACTCCCTGTAATCCCAGCACTAGGCAGGCTGAGGCAGGAGGATTGCTGTAAGTTCCAAGCCAACCTGGGCTATATAGTGATTTCAAGGCCAATCTGAACTACATAGTGAGACCCTGTGTCAAAAAAAATTATGTTTTAAATTTTTCATTGCCAATAAATAGAAAACTATGAGAGCAAATTAAGTATTTTGTGTATTTTTAAATTGATTTAACTCATAAAGTCCTTGATTGTCATGAACACATAATGCTTTGTTTTATGGTTGTTTTTTTAAAGAGTTTAAAGAAATTACAATTGTTTGTTTTAAAATAATATTAGATACGGTAGGTAAGAAAATCTCCTGGTTTGTTCACCTGCAGAGAATATGCTAAAAAAGAGACTGATGAGTGAAACCTTTTGCTGTTTCAAATTAGGAAAGAAATGTGGTTTTCTATTATATTAGGTTGTTCTGCTAACAGAGAAAAATTCCAAAGCAATTTATAACAGGAAGTCACAGTTCGATATTTTGTAATTTACAGTTAATAGATACTCAGAATCTTCTTGTATTGGAATATTTGTTGATGTTATTAGCTTGATTTATAAGTGAGAAAGGTAAGATACAGAGAGACTGAATAACTAAATCTTGTTTGCTTAGATTTACAAACATGTCCTATGATTCCGTGGCACACTGACTCATTGCATTGTCTTCTCACCATCATTCCTTTCAGTTTCATTTTCAGCCACACACATACACAAATCATTTTGTTTAGGGACAGAGCCAAATCAATCCATTCCTTCACTGAACTTGAATATACTGTTCCTACCAAAAACTCTAGAAAATCAGATTTAGTTGATTGGTCCCATGATCTCAGAGTGGTCCTGATGATGTTTCAAACTTGCTGGCCTAGTTTTCTTCCTTGCTTCTCCCTGAGACTTCATAGTGTGCTAGGTACTACCACTTAGAGCTCAGCCACCTACCTAGACAAGCTCTACAAGTACAGCTGTCAACTCTGCAATGATCTTCACGCAGACCTGGAGCTGATGGAAGGAATGGTGCGTCTGTGGCTAAAATGATATGCTGGAAGTTAGCTGCAAATGAGCCTCAGGTAGTTACTCAGTGAGGGACATGAGCAGATTTAGTAAATTGTTGGACATGAGTGGATTTAGTAAATTGTTGTTCCAAGTCTAACATTTTCTGAATTTTAAAATAACTGTACATAATTTCCTGTGGCTTCAGCATAATACAGATCAAGCATAATAAATACATCAAGAGGGAATTAAGCCAGTTGCTGAGACATGACTGCATGTTGCTGGTAGCATAGAAAGTATATGATGGCATGGTCATCATTTAAATGAGATAGAACAAAACCTGAGTTAGTCACACTTCAACTCTGTTATTCCCCAGATTTTTTTTAAACTTTTCTATGGATGTGTATTCCATAGTATGGCTGGATTTTCTATTTCCTAATCATGAGGCAAATATAGTAAGGTTCCGAAGCCCCTTTCTCAGCTTCTGGGAGGAAAGTAGAGCCTGACCACAGACTCCAGAGCCAACACTTTTTCTCTTCTTTCCTTTCTCCTAGGACTCATCTGAGATTAAAGGACACATGGGGGAAACTGATATCTGGTTATTTTTCCCCACTGAACTTCTAATTGCACCTATTTGTCACCCTTAGGACTACCAGGAAGCTTCCAATTTGGAACAGTTTGTCACTCGATTTTTATTAAAGGAAACATTGAATCAGCTGCAGTCTCTCCAGAATTCCCTGGAATGCGCCATGGAAACTACTGAGGAGCAAACTCGTCAAGAAAGGCAACTAAACATTTTCATATGATGTCTCTTTAGTGATTCTAATTTTGTGGAAAACTAGTTGAGGATCACTGTATTAATGGAAATGAATGGATTTAAATGGTCAAGGACCTCCACTTGCTACTTGCCTTGTTATTTGCCTCTAAAAATATAACATTTCATTCTTCTTTTAATATCCTTCATTTTCTCAGCAATTTTGAATCGAGAATTTAGTAGACAGAGAAGAGTTTAAAAGACAATATTAATATACATTTAACATGGTGCTAATCCTTAAAGAACTGAAAGTCTATTACATAAATAAGACATGGGCAAAAAAGGTACAGCATTGTAAATACAGAAAGGAAAACAAATTGGTAATGAGTTTGAGTAGAATGAAAAATTCAAAAACATTAGAGGGATAAAAGTCTATCTCATGAAATTCCTCTATGACATTTGAGCTTTTCTTGAAATGAATATAATATGAAAATGTAGAAATGATGGGAAAGACTCTTATAGAATAAGTGAATGTGGATATGCTGGGGAGATTTGAATATTTAGTAAGCCTGATTATTTAGAGAAATGTAAAAAGTGAAAGAAGGGAAAGATTTCACCCTTCAATGTTATCATTAAGTATCACTGAGAGGAAAAGTGGTGATATTATAATATCTGTATAAATACACTAATGCTAAAGAGACACTTACAATGGAAATGTGTAAAGTAGACATCAAAGTAATTCTAACAAAAAGAGTGCATTCTTGAGTTGCCATTCTTCATACTTTGAAAGTTAAAGAACAGTTTGGCACAACTCTTGCTCTTATAACATATTTTTGTCTTTAAACTGACAGATATGTCTTTATCTAACTTTTGATCATACAGTAGGAATAAATACACAATTAAATTTTTTGAACAGGCCAATGGATTACTCTGTAGGACCAATTTTTCTAAACAAATTAATGGATATATAATCATTAGGACATGCCTAAAACTACTGGAGCTTTGAACCATATGTTTCCACTGTCAAAAAGAGTGATCAACAGTTCCACCACTCCCAGCCTAGAGGAAGGAGCTTCTGGGCTGGCTTTCCACCACTCCCAGCACAGAGGAGGTGAGCCATGTGGGTGCCAACACAACCCCCAACCCCATCAAAATGAGAAGACGTGTAAACAAGTCTCAAAACCAGACTTCCAGATCACTTACAGCAACCCCAAAGGGAAAGGAGATGGACACTCTGATACTCAACAACCTGGACTCCCTGAACTAGCAACAAAAGAGGATCTCGACAAAATGAAATAAAAAATAATTTCTCAGATAACAGCAGAGATCGAGCCCATAGTGCAAGACATGATTAATAAATCTAAGAGAGGACACAGACAAAAAAACAGAGGAGCTGAGGAGCATGATGGAATCTCAACATAGGAAACAAATGGAATCCATAAAACTGACACAAACAAGTTTCCAGGAGATAAAACTCCATTGAAAGTTTACACAGCAGAATGAACCAAT